CTCTCTCTCTCTCTCTCTCTCTCTCTCTCTCTCTCTCTCTGTTTCTCGCTCTATCCATTCATCTCTATCGCCATCTCTGTCCATATCTCCCTCTCTTGGTCTGTGTGGGTGATCTGCTCCAAGCTTCCCGCATTCTGCTTGGCGTGGCGAAATAACTCCGTTATAGAACAAACTTCTTACAAATACAAGTAACAATAAAGAAACAACGAACGCGCGCTATTTTTCGTGTGCGAAACGACAACCAGCCATTTTTATGAGTCATCAATACATATACACATACACATACAGACACACACACATATATATACATATAAACTCCCACCGCCACCGGTGCACACTTCCATCTCTCGTGGCAGCGTGTGCATACAAGCGCTGGGTTCCCTCTACACACACGCTAATTTCTACGTCCTCTTTACGCGCCCGACCATCAGGCGCCGTGGCAGCAGGCTCAGGGAGAGGAGCATCCCTTTACATAGAAAAATCCCCTTATATTTTACACAAAGCGAGTCTGTGGGGAGAAGATGCAGCAGCAACGCCCTCTATGCGTCGTTGGTCGCAGCCATAGAAATATATAGAGACACTGGTCTAACCAGTACATTATTTCTATGGTCGCAACAAGAATGGGGTTGGGTGCGGTTAACTGGTGCGCTATCTCATCACTTCGTTAATAGGATTCATCAGTAGTGGGTTCAATAGGATTAATTCGGAAAAGCGTAGTGAAGAGAGCGGCCACCAGGGAAGGATGACGCTAATGCTTCTCCCGCCGAAACAAGAGAACTTCGCATCATCGCCTGATGTAACTAGGGCTGGAGTTAAACACCGCATAGCATGAGGAGGGGAGGGAGGGGTGCGGGGGATGCTGGGTTACGCTCTCCCCTCCTTCTACCGCGGCAGTATTGTGCCTCACAAATGAATAAATGACGAGTGCCGTAAGGAACACTATGGTTTATGATAATTCACATCACCACTTGCCACCCACGATATGGATACAGTGGGAGGAGAGGAGGAGGTGGAAGGAGAAGGATTGTAGGTAGAGCGTGTAGCATTGGTAAAGAAGAGGGGTAGCGGGAGGAGGTGGAAGGAGAAGGATTGTAGGTAGAGCGTGTAGCATTGGTAAAGAAGAGGGGTAGCGGGAGGAGGTGGAAGGAGAAGGATTGTAGGTAGAGCGCGTAGCATTGGTAAAGAAGAGGGGTAGCGGGAGGAGGTGGAAGGAGAAGGATTGTAGGTAGAGCGTGTAGCATTGGTAAAGAAGAGGGGTAGCGGGAGGAGGTGGAAGGAGAAGGATTGTAGGTAGAGCGTGTAGCATTGGCAAAGAAGATGCTGACGTGGCGGATGCTGGAAGGTCCGGAAAACTCGAAACTAAGTGGGGGGAGGGGCTGGGGGGGGAGAAGCGGGAAGGTGTGAAGAGATGGAGATCTCGAGTGACTCCTACAAGCGGGACCCTTCTACAGTTCATGGCGCATACACGGAAACCGAACGCTCTCATCCGCGCAAATCGCGGTCAACGTAGCAACAAATAAAAAAAAACTCTCTCTAGCAATAACAACATACTACCGTTTACGGACAGTAAACATCTAAAAAAAAATAACTCGAGAGAAACAATGACCGCAATCAAATACTTATGGTAGGAACATTAGAGGGTCTAACGAGTTTCACGGTGCTACCCTCTGTCGGCAGGAATGTGCGGTTTTAACACATGTTTCACACATTATTTCCCGTAAATGACAGACGATGCGTCATCACGTAATCACGCACGTTTGTAGAAGACAATAAATGCATTGGTGACCCGAAATGCAGCGTACAACGTTAGTTGCGTGTCACTGCTTCATGCTCTAATCGTGCGATACAACATTGAGCCTTCAGTGACATGATGAGGCATGTCATGTCACAAATTTACATGATACAGCACCGTTTTACAGTAACGCATGACTCATCATTATCGCAAGCATCATTACAGAGCTCCATAACACAGCACCATGCCTAGGTTCCATGACACAGCATCATGCCTAGATTCCATTACACTGCATCATGCCTATATTCCATGATGCAGCATCATGCCTATATTCCATGACAAAGCACCATGCCTATATTCCATGACAAAGCACCATGCCTATATTCCATGACAAAGCACCATGCCTATATTCCATGACAAAGCACCATGCCTAGGTTCTATGATACAGCATCATGCCTATATTCCATGACACAGCACCATGCCTATATTCCATGACACGGCACCATCACTATAACTTACATGAGACTGTACCACGTTTTACACGATATCATAGCACACACACCCATGCGAATGAGATGCGCCACATTCGACACCAATGTGGACACGCACATAGCACCAAAACTTTACTCAAACGCAATACGCATCGTAGTTGCATTGCGATTATCTGTGTATCGTGTCACACAGCATCGGGTACGATCGTCAGGACGTGACAGCGTGCGCCACCTGGCGGGAAAGACCACGCGGGGTAGCCCCCTCCTGCCATTAGCTAATCATCTTAATTATTGAGCCTTAATTCATTAGCATTGAAATGCTCGGCACCACCACTAGGCCAGGTTTCGCCCTAACGCACGCCAGAACTCCTGAGGGAGACAAGCTGCATCACAATCGTTGTGCTGCACTGGTAAGATTCACCGCTCTGCTGCACGCTTCCCGCGTCTTCCCAAAGCAGACGAGTGCAGCAGACGAGCGTACGAACCCAGTAACCAATCACGGTTAACTCCGCCCCCTACCACGCCGGCTGGCGCCCCCTGGTAGCTACACGCCCCGCACGCGGCGCCCTCTATGTCATCTTCGCGTCGACGTCGCTTTCCGCCTCCTCCGCGCCGCCCCTCCCGATCTCCGTGTCGGCTTCTCCCTTGCCGCCCTTCTCCTCCTGCTGCGATCCGTAGAAGATCACCTCCCCCGAGCGCGTCAGCTCGCACTGCCCCGCGTACAGCTTACCGTCCTTGCCTTTCAGCAGCGCGCGCGTTTCGTCGTCGTCGGTGTCGACGACGGCAGTGAAGGCGTGCTCCGGCACTTCGTTCATGACCTCAACGCGGATGTGCGTGAGGATGTAGAGCAGTGTGCAGATGAGCTGCGGGAGAGAGAGAGAGTGAGAGTGAGAGAGAGGGAGAGAGAGGGAGAGAGGGATGGGGAGTGAGAGCGAGAGAGGGAGGGAGAGAGAGAGAGTGAGAGAGAGAGAGAGAGAGAAGAGAGAGAGAGAGAGAGAGAGAGAGAGAGAGAGAGAGAGAGAGAGAGAGAGAGAGAGAGAGAGAGAGAGA